AGAACAACAACAAAAAAAGCGCTTGGCCGAGAGGGAAACCTGTTTTTTTTTAAAAGATCTGAGAAAAGAAACACATGAAAAAAAAGACAAAAAGACAAAAAAAAAAAAAAAGACAAATAAACTGCATGGTGCTTTAACAGGATCTGGTGACCTGGCTCAACCCAGCCGCGGCTGGCTGATGCTGTGCATGGCAGACTCTTATTAACCGGCTCTACCTTCCCCTTCAGCAAAAGAGAAAAAAAAAAGAGGAAAAAAACCAACAAAAAAAATCTGTATAAAAAAAAAAAAAGCCGTAAAAAAAAAAAAAAACACACAAGAAAAAAAAATCCATGTTTTCCTAATTTGCACGAAATTTTATACCACATGATGTGCCTTGCCTTCGAAGCCTAAGTATTACTGGACCCGATATCAGTGCGAGGGAGTCGCTGCATGCCCGGGGCTCCCGGGGGGCCGGGGGGGCCGGGGGCCGCTGCCCCCCCCTCGCCTCCTGCATGGCTTCTTCTCGGCCGGAAAAGTCCCTTTTTCTCTGTATTCTTCTTCTTTTTTAACCGATTTTCCCCCTCAAAAACGTCTTCCAGTTGGTAATACCGATGCATCCTCTGCGCCAACACACCGGAATATGCAATAGCTGTGGGGGGGGCCGGCCGGGGGGGCGGCCACCCTTTTGCTTTGCCTCTCTTTTCTTTGTTTTCCTTCCCTTTTGGGGGGTTTTGATTTGTTTTTTCTGCTTTCAGCAACCAAAGGCAGCGAGGCGGGAGGCAGCAGGGACCCCCAGAACGCTCGGGGGAGACCCGGTGTCCGGGCGCGGCAAGACTGAGCGGGGTGTGGTGGGGTCCGTGCCGGGAGGAGCGGGGATGGAGACCCCAGGGCTGATCCTTACGGGGGGGCCACAGGGTCCCACCCCTCCCCCTTAGGGGACCCCCACTTTTTAATTGGTTTTCAACGGGGCGCAGGGCCAGGAGGGCTGAGCCCAGCTGCTCTTTTGACAGGAATGGAACCGTGTGAATGTAGCTGTGCCTCCCCCGGGCTGGTGTCAGGGGGGTCACAGCCTCCCCCCCACCTCCACCCCATCGGCTTCATCCCCGGGGTGCAGCTGGCACGGCGGGGAATGGCAGCAGGTGCCTTCTTGCCGCCTCTCCCTGCTGTGCCCGCTGCCGAGCAGGGGCCCGACACCCCCCTAAAAACCCAGAATTTGCCTTAAAACCCCAGAGTTCCGCCGGCTGGAGAGACCCCCCCCAACCTCCCTGAGGCTGAGTACTGACGCGGGTTGTGACACCGGTGGGCGGGTGGCACCGGCATCGCTGCTGCTCGGGCATGAAGAAACGTCGTCGTCAACAGTTTTTAATTTTTTGTTTGTTTGTTTGTTTTTTGGTTTTTAGGGTTTCTTTTTTTTTTTTTTTTTGGTGTCCAAAAGTATTAGTGGGGAGTGGCGGGCTGGTCGCGTCCCGCCGGGTTTCGCCCATAGTTGAGGCTGGTTTGAGGGTCCCAGACCCTTGGGAGGAGCCTTGGAAGACGCTTCTTTATGCAAGGTGCAGTATTGATTTCTGCAAGGACAATGCAAGGAGGGAGCGGAGGTGGCGTCCAGCTGGGGGGGAGGAATGAAAAATAGAATTAAAAAAAAAAAAAAAATTAAAAAGGGGTAAAAAAAGAAAAAAATTAAAAGAGAGAAAGATTTTTTTTAAAATAGAAAAAAAAAAAGGGAGGGGTTAAGGCTGGAAAAGGCTCACCTCAAAGCAAAAAATATTTTAAAAGCATTTTTAAACGGTGACAGTGACAGCGGAGGGAGGGAGCGGGGGGCACGGGGCAGCCCCTTCGGCCAGCCCCGGGGAGGAGAGGGGCGCTGGCGCCCCTTGGGCCTGAGCCCCCCCACCCCGAGGAAGCCCCGGAGCCCCCTGTCCCCGCGGGGACACCACCGGGGCCGTCCCCTGCCCCCTCTTTGCTGCCTCCCTACCCCCGGGCCAGCAGCAAGTCCGGCCGGGCTGCGGCCGCAGCCCCCCCAAAACCCGCCCTCGGCAAGAAAAGCACCTTAAACCAAATTTAAAAGGCAAAAAAGAATGAACACGCGCCCCTCCAGCCCGTATGGCGGCACTGGGGGGGGCGTGCCGGGGGCTTCCCCTTGCGGGGCCGGGGACCCCCCGTGCCCCCGGGGTCTTTGCACTGCTCCCCCGACACCCCCGGGGCCGCACCCCCGGCTCTGCCCAAAGGGAATATGCAACACCCCTCTGGTCCCTCCCCGGGGGACACCACTCATTTTTATTATTTCCATTTTTTAAATCATTCTCCCTTCTTTTTTTTTTTATCTTCTGGCGGCCTCGATGGCCACGGTCGGGGTCAGCGCAAAGCCGGGGTGGAGGACACCCCATCCCTGGGGAAGCTCCGGGGGAGTCCCCCGCAGGATGGGGATACCAGGGGGCTCCGCTCGACAATCACCGCGGGGGTTTCATGCACTACAGTCTCTCCTAGAGGGTTTTTAGTCGGGCTCGTCGGCTTAAAAAAATTAATTAAAAATAGTCCTTGTGACCTATAAATAAAACAAATAACCTGTACATATATATATATATATCTCCATATATATATATATGGGGCTGCAGGGCCGGGGGGCGCGGGCCCCCACACAGTTAAGGTACTTTAAATCGCAAAGGAATATATATATATATATATATAAAATCTCATATATATATATATATATATATATATATATATATATATATATATATATATATGTCTTCTTTGGTGGGGTTTAGGCTCTTTTTTTTGTTGTTGTTTTGTTTGGTTGGATTTTTTTGGGTTTTTTATTTTTTGTACTCGGAGTTTGGAATTTGCTGCTTTCTGCCCCCCCCCGGGTATCCTGCCACCGGCTGGGATGGTGCCCCCGGTGATGGGTGCCCCGGGAGAGGCCCATGGGTGACCCTCTGGGTCCCCTGTGCGGTGCCCGTGGGTGTCACTGTGGGTGCTCCAGGTGACACCCCTGGGCCCCCCATCGGGTGCCCCTGTGGGTCCCTCTGGGTGTTGCAGAGGATGCCCCTCTGTGTTTCCCTTGGGCGCCCCAGGTGATGCCCATGAGTGCCCCTCTGGGAGCTCCTTTGGATGCTCCAGGTGATGCCTAGGGGGCCTCTCTGGGTGCCCCAAGTGGTGCTCACAGGTGCCCTTCAAGGTGCCTCGAGCAATACCCATGAATACCCCTCTAGGTGCCCCTTTTGGGTGCCCCTCTGGATGCCCCAGGCGATGCCCACGGGTGCCCCGGTCCGTGGGTGCCGTTCTGGGTACCCCCGTGCCCTGCTGGGCATCCCGTGCGATGCCCGGGGGCAGGCGGGAGGTGGAGCCGGGGTGGGGGGAAATCCCACCCCTGGGCAAAGAGCGGCAAAAGGAGAGAAACCGCCCCAAAAAGGCGCCGAGGCGGCAGCCGGCCGGACCGCGCCTATTACCCAAACCAAAAATCCCGCCGCAGTGCCTCCGCGCCGCCGGCTGCCCCGCCCGCCTTTTCGGGGGGTCCCCGCTCCCCCCGGGGTCGGGGGTGCACCCTCCCCGCAGTTATATTTTACTCGTTCGCCGGATTCTCGCTTTCGCTTTGCCGCAGCCGATACACACCGCGAGCGCACCAGGGCCGCGAGCCGGGGCCGGGCTCCCCCCGCTGTGCCCCCCCCGCGCCCCCTGGCCCCGCATGACCCCCCCGAGCCCCCGCTTGCCTCCCTGGTGCTTCACGATATTTGATTATACCATTGTACGCAGCCATTACCGATAGCGCCGCTCCTGCCTACATACACTTACTGACCCTGATACGGATTTTTGGGGTTTGTTTTTTTCTTTTGTTTTCTTTTTTGGTTTGTTTCTTTTGTTTTGGTTTCGTTTGGTTTTTTTTTTTTTTGTTTGTTTGTTTGTTTTTTTCCCGTTGTTTTTTTTTGTTGTTGTTGTTCCCCCCCTCCCCTATGCAAAAAAGAGAAAAAAGAGACAAAAAAGAAGAAAAAAACAAAAAAGAAAAAACTGACACACAAAAAAAGATTAAAAAATGAAAAGAAAAAAAAAAGACAAAAAAAGAAATGTATAAAAATTAAACAAGCTATGCTTCAACTCCAGCCCGCCTCCGCCCTTCTTTCACTGCTCCGGGGGAAACTGAGGAACGGCGCCCAGCCGGGGAGAGCACGGGTGTCCCAGCGGAGGAAGAGGAGGGCACTGGGGAGAGCAGAGCCGTGCCAGGCAGCGGGCACCCATGACCGCAGAGGCGGGACCCCCAGCCATGACTGCTCCTGGCCGGATGAGGAGGGTGACAGAGCTGGGACCCCGCAGGGCGCACCCCCAGCCCCAGGCGGGGCGGCGGGCAGAGGACGCGTGGGGACAGGACATGGGTGGGGACAGCCGTGGTTCACTCGTGGGTTCAGAGCTGCTGCCACTTCCTTTGCTCCCAGACCTTGGCCACGGGACGTCACCACCTCGTGCGCGTGACGTCACCGCCTGCGGTGTGACGTCACTGTCCTCACCCGTAGGTCAGCGTTGGCCGAAGCTGCGCTTCACCTCCGCGGTCTTCACGGTTGCTGTCCCCAAGCACTGCCCAGGACAGCCATGGAGGCGAGGCCCGCCAGCCCCCTCGGTGCTCCCCAGCCCCCGTGTTCCCTCGGTGGCCACCCCTCGGTCGGGCAGCAATGTGGCCTCGCCCTGCCGAGATCGCTGTGGTCTGGCAGCTCGGAACTTGCCATTGTCCCCTGCCCTAGTGGCACCGGAGGCTGCCGGACAGCCCCCTCCCCAGCGCGGTGACACAAGGCGTTTGACACCGGGGTAGGCTGGGGAAACCTTTACTGGGCATGTCTGGGGAGGGGGTTGTCCTCGTCCCCCCGGGCTGGGACCCCCCGCCGGCCCAGGGTTAGGGGGCACCGGGAGACTCCGCTGCCCGTCCCGGCCACCGCCCTCCCCGCTCCGCTCCGGCGAGCGAGGGATCCGCGCCGGGTCTTGGTCACAGCCGCGGGGAGGGCGGTGCCACGGCGGCCACGGCTATCGCCGAAAACCCGGCGCAGATCCCTGCCCCGCGGACGGGGTGAGGTGCTCCGGCGCGGGCAGAGAGCACGGGCGGGACTCAGAGGGACGTAGCCTTGCTCTGCTGCTTGTCGTCGCTCAGGTCATCCCAGTCCTCAGCCGCCGGGTTGACGTGGCCAGAGCGCCCCAGCCTGCGAGACAGAGGGAACGTCGGTCAGCCGGGCATTGCACCGGCACCGCGGCCGTGCCAGGGGCACGAAGGGCACTACGGCACGGTCGCCTCTGGCCATGCCAAGGGCACACAGCCACCATGGCACAGCTGGAATGTGGCCACCCTCGAGGGAGTCCAAATCGCGGTGCGGGGTATCCCGATGCGGTACCTGTCAGCCGCCAGGGTCTCCGGGTAGTCGTCCTCCTTCCTGCGAGGACACAGAGGCTGAACGGTGCCCGGGGACAACTGCCCCCAGCCCATGGCAACCTTCCACGCAGCTTTCCCCTGGCCAGCAACCCCCGGCCCCCGCACCAATCCAACCTGTGCCTCCTGAGATTCCAGAGCCGGTTAACGAGCAGTATCACGAAGACGATGAAGAGGAAGACGACGACGGCCGTGAGGCCAATGAGCCACGGCTGCAGCACCTTGGGGCCCGTGTCTGCATGGCCAGGGGACAGGGAAAGGAAAATATGGGGATGGGGACAGCTTCAGGGGAGCTCCATCATTCAGGGGATGGGACCCCCCCAGGGACATGTGCAGACACTCACTGTTCCCCTTTCCCACTGTCCCTTGGGTGCCAAGGAAGCCACCCCTGACACCCCTCACCTGTCCCCAGCACAATGAGGAGCACTGGGGCACCAGGTGGGTGTCTCCAGGTCCTTCTGCTCTACCCCGAGAAAGTTACTGTTGGAACACTGGGACAGACTGGTCCCACTGGAAAGATCTCCCAGGAGCTGATCTGATGCCTGGAGGGGGCCTGGCCACCTCCCCAGGCACCCCAGAGCACAGCAGTACAGAGTGTCACAGGAGAACCTACCAGTCTGTCCCTGGGTGGTGGCAGCAAGGACGAGCAGGACCAGGAGCGAGAGGGGCTGCAAGGGCTTTGGCATTTTTGGGTGAAGGGCTGGGGCACGTCTGGATCCTGCTCCTGAAAGTGAGCTTCTGTCCCCTGCTGCTATCGTGCCTGCACTCTGCACCCAAGGCAATGGGCGCCTTTATTGCCCCAAGAGGACAAAGTGGCACCAAGCACCATGGCAACGTGGCTTCTGTCACCCTTGGGAGATGGTACCACTCCCCTGGCTCAGGCACTGGCACTCCACAGCACAGAGTGGCCACCAGCTCCGGGACCACAGCGGCAAAGGACAGGCATGCCCCTGTGCCCAGGACTGGTGATCACCCCCAGGGTAGGTGGGTGGATGGAGGCAGAGACAGACAGGTGGGCGGGTGTGTGCACAGATGGAAGAACAGATGCGTGATGGGGTGGAGAAGTGCTCACCCTGCCTGGATCCCCCTATCCCTGCTGGCAGGGCTGGGGCAGCAGGGAGGGGTCCATGAGCTGTTCCCATGGGATGGGGCAGCACAGAGTGGTGGGCAATACCAGGCCACCCCCAGCCCTCCCCTGGGCACGAGCCAGCTGTCCCCAGGTGGGACCCCATCTTGTCCTCAGGGAGTGCCCGCATACTGCCAAGAGTGAAATACTGACAGGGTTAGCTCAGAGAGACCATGGCAGGGTACCCACCCACCAAGGCACAAGGAAAACTGATGCAGAGGGTGCCCAGCAGCACTCCAGGGACGGACAGTGGACTTTGGCAGGGCCACTGTCTGTGGCAATTCCTCAAGGGGAAAAGAAGGAAACTGGGGGTACAGGCATCCAGCCTCAGCCTAGGTTTAAGACAGGGAGTGCAGGTCCATACAAGACCTTGATCCTCAGTGCCCTCACCCAGAACCCAAGTGAGGCTTCAGGGTCCCCCAAGGCTGGTTTGGGTCCAATGTGGGTGCCACCAAGCAGTGTCTAGCAGTGCCAAGGCACTGAGGGGATGGGGGAGGCACAGCCAGCCTCAGCATCCAGCTGTCCATCTGTCTGTCCCTACCCATGTGCCCACGCTGACTTCACCCATGCAGAGGTGTATCGACGTTTCCATGTGCATGTGTGCACCCATGTCCGTGTCCCCTGCCACCACTGGCTGTGCCCCCACACCATGGCTTTGCACCCCTAAGCACCCGCCTTTACACACCCATGGCCAGGGGTGCCATGGCTGTGCCAAGGGGTGCTGTTGCCCCAGGCAAATATTGGGATATCCCAGCCATCCCCCCGCTGTGCTGGGCTAAGGGGTGAGCAGGGCTGGGGCAGGTGGTTTTATTGGCATGACAGCCCAAAAGGAGCCCCGAGAGCAGCGCTAGGGCTGGGCAGGGAGGAGAGGCTGGGCAGTGCCTACAGCCAGGGCCACGCTGTGACACAATGGTCAGGCAGGGCTGCAGAGTCCTGCTTGTGGCAGGGCTGTCCTCTGGCCTTAGAAGAACCTCTTCTTGGGGGAGTCAGCAAAGGAGACAGAGCTGCGTGGAGCGAGCAGCCCCAGCGGGATGTCCGTGCCGGGCAGGATTCCGGTGCCTTCGTCATCCGCCTTCTGCTCCACCAGCACCTCGTCCTTCTCCAGCCACTCTGCCTCCAGCACAGTGCCGTCGGCCATCCCCGCCTTCTCCTCCGGCTTGGGCCCAAATGCCCAATCTGCAGGGGCAGAGACGGAGCTGTCAGCAGCACCAGCCCTGCCACAGCACAGTCTCAGGTGGGGGGGATCCCCCCGGCCCCCTGCCCACCCCAAAGCCCGACCCTGCTGTGGGTAGCACTCACCGGCGAAGTCGTGCACCAGGTCCTTGATGAGGTGCCCCACGATGGCGTATGCCACCACCAGCACCAGCGTGGCCGCCATCACCAGGTACAGGACATAGTGGGGCAGGCGGATGCTGTCCAGGGCGGGGGGTTTGTAGTCCACGTACAGCACCCCATCCTCCTTGGGGGAGGACTGCAGCAAGTGCCGTGGCCCCCATGCCCCCCCGGTGCCAGGCAGGGGGATATCCCCCGCCAGGGCCATGGCCAGCTATCCCTGCACCCCCACCCCGAGCCACCGAAGTCTCTGCCACGCAGGGGAGGAAGTGGCATCAGGGTCCACAAGGCTCCTCAATACTGGCAGCTCACAGGGACTGTGAGCAGTGGCTGGCAGCAGTGCCACTCACCCAGCGACAGAGCTGTGTTGCTGAGAAGGAGCTTAGCACTTACTAATCCAGGCACAGCCCGGCTGCCTCAGCATGGGGGGTGACCCGTGGGCTATGATGTGGGTCACAGTCCCCCAAATCCTGCCCCTCTGGAAGCACCACTGGTACTACTGCCCCCCTGGGTGTGGGGAGTCACCTGCAGCTGGAGAACCCCCAAAGACAGGGATGGGGAGGGATGGTCGAGGTCTTTCCTCCATCCCCTGGCCAGGGTTAAATCCCTCAGCAGGCCCCAGATCCCTGGAGCTGATGGTTGAGATCCCTGAGGACACAGCAGCCTCGGAGCCGGAGGTGATGGGCAGAGGGGACAGGGACACATCAGGCACAGGGGCTCCAACGGGGCCCTGTCTGCTGTACAGTGAAGCAGCCCATGGCAAGAGGCTCTCGCCTTCCCAGATGGCTGTCACATGTCACCCCAGCAACCAGTATCACCTCCCCAAGGCAGGCTGCTCTGCAGAGAGGTGCAGAGTCCATGCTTCCCCCAAAAGCAATTCCTCCCACACCAAGAGGGTGCAGGGTTTAGCCCAGGCCAGCAGCAGCTTTGGAGAAACCCCAAACCCTTCCAGCACAGGCTAGACTGGGAGGGCTGAAGGTGCTAGTGGGGTTCAGTGCCAAGGCAAGGCTCAAGGTTCAGCCCTGCTCCACTCCAGCACCTCCCAGCTCTGCTGCACCAGGTTACCCCTGCCCAGATCCCAGCCTCAGAAATGCATTTTCTTGCAATTAGGTGTTTGGGGGAGCAGAGACAAATGTTGGCACGGAATGATTGGTAAACAACCCTGCAAGGTCTGAGTGCATCACCTGTGGAAAAGTTGGAGAACAGAGGTGGGGGCAGCTGAGGTGTTAAGTGGAGACAAACAGCCTGGCAAACTCCAGGGTGCAGCAGCCCATGTGCCAAGAAGGGAACAGTGGAAGTGATAACATGGCCGGGGGTAAATCACCTATGTCACTGTCTTGAGGATGGATATGGACACAGGGAGACCCCAGAGGCCAAAGTGCCAGCTGAGCCCTGCCCATAGCCCCAGAGGCTACAGGGGGTAAGGGAAGAGGGAAAAGCAACCTGTAACAGCTGCTGATTCCAAACTGTGAAAACATCAGATGTTGTCCCCAGCACTGAGGAACTGCAGTCTGGAGCCCCTCACCCTTCACATCACACACAGGTGACCCTACCCACAGCACTCAGCCATGTGTCACTGACTCCCAGTGTGTACAGGTGACCAAAACTGGTAACATCTTGACTAAGAGCCCTTTCTGTGGGGTCCTTAACTGGGTCAGACTGGGCCATGACCAGGGCTGCCCCTTGGCTGTGTCCCTGAGCACCAGAGCCCTGGGGATGCTGAGCTGGCTTCAGGAACTAAGAGGATTGAGCCTGGGACTGACTCAGAGGGGGCCCTTGAAGAAGGGGAAAAGGTATGCCCAGCAGTATGCCAGGCCCTGCAGGGCAGTGGGACCTACCAGGGCACCTCAGACAGTTCATCCTCCTCCCCAGGGCTGGAGGTTTCACCTCATGCCATCAGAGACTGCACTCCCTGCTCCTCCCAATGTGGCTGGACTCGATTTTAAAGGTCCTTTCCAACCTCAATGGTTCTATGATTTCCTTTGGGCAGCCTCCTAGGCTCCTGCCCGGGGCTGGACTCCATGGTGCTGGGTGTACTCCACACGTGGGCACAGGTAAATCACAGATCGACTCACTCCAGCTTCCTGTGCCGATGCTTTATTCCCCGCCAAACCCCAAACCCCAGTGCCCAGGCTGGGCTGGCTAAGGGATTTGGGTGCCAGCAGCAGCCTCAGCCCTCCTGGCCCTGGTTAAACATGGGGGAAAGCCCAGGCAGGCTCTGCCTCACCCTGCCCACCCTAATGGCAGCACCCTTCCCTGCAGAAAAATCCTCAGCCATATCTTCCCAATTTTGCCATGAAACAACCCCCATCCTGGGGCAGAGGCTGCTATAGGCTCAGCTCCAGCCTGTCCCAACAGGAGAAGCCGAACCCACTGCGGGGGCGAGGAGGGCTCAGGCTCGGCACCAGTACTGAGAGCAATTTCGAAGCATCCTAACACCACAGCCCACAAAAGCAGGTTCCCAAAGCCCATCCTAGCCCCCAGCAAAGCTCAGCTGGGGAGAACGGAGCTGCCAACGTCGCAGCACCAATCCAGGGCAGGCCCAAGCCCTGCAGAGCCGCAGCAGGCTCTGACGTGCCAAGCAGAGCCCACCTGGTTCAAGCCCCAAGCCACACTGCACACAGGCAGTGCTGATCCTGGCAGGAAAAAGGGGCAGATCCAGGAAACAGTGGCTGGCGAGGAGTGGTGGGGAAACAAGTAGCAGCTCAGCCTGGATTTGGAGGGAAAAGGTGTTTGTAATCGTGCCAGAGATCAAACCCAGTCCCTCCTCCAGCTCTGCGTGGCAAAGCATGGATCCACACCAACAGAGATGGCTGTGAAAGTGCCACTGGCAGCAGGAGGCGGTGGGAGGCAGCACACCCACCTCAGTGCCCCCAATCCAGGCTTAGGAGGAGGCCTGCAGCTTGCAGAGCCTGTCGGCGTACTGGAACTGGGCGCTGTTCTCATACTCGTACATGTCCAGGGCCACCTGGCAGCTCTCGCGCACCACGCGCTCCTCGTCGCCGGCAAAGGCGCGCAGGGCCCGCAGGCACGAGGGCCGGGCAATGGAGCCCAGCGCCTCGGCGCACTCGTGCCGCACCATGGGGCTCTCGGCGCGGCTACACAGCACGGCCGTCAGCTGAGGGACACACGCCTCGTCCTGCAGCTGCCCCAGCACGTAGCCGATCTCGTGGCGGAACAGCGCACTGCCACAGCGCAGCCCTGTGGGAGGGGGGACAGTAAGCTGGGATGTCCCAAAATGCAGCACGATAGCCCAAAACCAGGATGCCTGGATGGAGCCCCCACCTGAAAGCTGGGGATGCCAAGGGTCACCACCCCACTCTCATGTGCAGGAAGGGATGTCCTACCCTGCTCCCCAGTCCCAACTCCGTCCCAGTGCCTCCTCTGATGGCAGTATCTACCCCCCAGCAGAGCTGCTGCCCCCCAGCTGCCCAAGTTCTGCCCCATCACATGATGTTCCAGGGGACGGCAGCATGGCCAGGGACTCCAGCCCTCCAGGACAAAGCAGCTGGAACAGGAGCTGACAGATCCCACCTTATGAACCTCAACAGTCCCAAATGACTGGAGAGCCTGATCCACTTCCCTTGGTCTGGGAGTGGGTCCAAACAGTTCCTGGGCTGTGGTTTGCCCCTTTCCCACTCAGGGGACATTCCCCTGTCCAGAACTATTCCCAAAC